CGGCATTGAATGTGTAGATCAATTTGGGGAGAATTGATATGAGAACATTTGAAGCCACGAAGATGGTTGTCGGAACTGTGCAGGGTCCAAGATTTCTCCGTACGTGCAAGCTGACTAGTTAGCCTGCCAGTGTTTCACGGGTGCTGGCTGAAGACAGGACCTTCCTGGGACAGACACAGCCCTGCAGGCAGCATGGGCTTCATGTTCACATCGGTTCTGTGTGCCGTCCTTGGTCCCACAGTGGTGACGTGGACGCCAGCTGTGTGCTGCACACGCGGTGGGTCTCTATGTCATGGCTGAGGAATCCTGAGCTTAGGGAACCCCAGGATTTTATAATGGGCTGCCAGCAAAGCTGTGTGACTCTTATCCCAGAGAAGCACATTATCTCTATTTATACTGAACAGCAAACCAACCTGCGTTTTGCTTCAGAGGGAGATGCTATCTCTGTCTTCTGAGCAGTTTGCTCCATAGACGTGCTTGGAAAGATAATTCAGAATGAAAGCTGCAGGCCGTTTGAAAGATGTGCAGAAACGGAAGGGATCCAATGGAGAGCTGTCTTCCAGCAGTGGTATATCTCTCTATTTATGTAGCTCTTTTAAAATTTCTCTCAGCAGAGTTTGGTTTTGCTGAGTAAAGTCAGACACGTCTTTCATTAAATTTATCCCTTAGTATTTTATGGGTTTTTTGGGATGCTGTTATAAATGCATTTTAAAAATTGTAAGTTTAGGAGACTTCCCTGGTGGTCCGGTGGTTAAGACTCCGCACTCCCAATGCAGGGGTCCCGGTTTGATCCCTGCCCAGGGAACTAGATCCCACGTGCATGCTGCAACTAAGAGTTCACATGCCACAACTAAGGAGCCCGCATGCTGCAAGTAAGGAGCTGGTGAGCCGCAACTAAGCAGCCTGCGAGCTGCAACTAAAGGAGCCCGCCTCCTGCAACTAAGACCTGGCACAACCAGATAAATAAATAGATATTAAAAAAAAAAAAAGGAATACTGAAGGTGCTAGTAAAATGTATTCAAAATAATAAAAATAAAAATTGTAAGTTTATTTTCCAATTGTTGCTAGAATATAAAAATATTTTTGGTTTTCATATATTGACCACCTATTCTACAGCTTTGCTAAACCTACTTACTAGTTCTAGCAGTTTTTTCATAGATTCCTTATGATTTTCTGTGTAACACAATCACGTCATTTGTATTTATAGTTTTTCCTTTCTCACCTGTCTTATTGCACTGCCTAGCACATCTAGTATACTGTTGAATCCTAAGGGGGAAAGCATTTACTATTTCACTATTATGTCTGATGTGAGCTGTGGGGCTTTCATAGGTGCCCTTCATCAGGTGGGGGAGGTTCCCTCTTGCCCCTGGTTAGGTGTTGTCATCTTCTGACTCTAATGGGAATGCCTCTCATAGGTCTACTGGGGCTGTGGTTTTGACAAGGATGCCTTTTTCTTTTAAAGTTTTTGTTCAATTTATTTAAACTAAAAAAACCCCACATCACTCATTTCTCCCATCCCCAAGCCCCTGTGTCTTGCAACCACCAAACTCTTCTCTGTATCTATGAGCTTGTTTTTTTTTTTTTTTTAAAGATTCCACATATAAGAGAGATCATACGGCATTTGTGTTTCTTTGTCTGACTTATTTCACTTAGCATAATGCCTTCAAGGTCCATCGATGTTGTTGCAAATGCCAAGATTTAATTTTCATTCTTTTTATGGCTGAATAATGTTCTGGTGTGTGTGTGTTTGTGTGTGTAATTTTTTTATCCATTCATCCATCAGTGGACGCTTATTCCGTCTCTTCGTTATTGTAAATAATGATGCAGTGAACATAGAGGTGCAGATATCTTTGTGAATTAGTGTTTTTGTTTTCTTTAGATAAATACCCAGAAAGGGAATTGCTGGGTCATATGTTAGTTCTATTTTTAATTTTTTGAGGAACCTCCATACTGTTTTCCACAGAGGTTGCACCAATTTACATTCCCACCAACAGTGAACGAGGGTTCCCTTTTCTCTAAATCCTAACCAACACTTGTTATGTCTTGTCTTATTGATAATAGCCATTCTAACAGATGTGAGGTCCTTTGTTGTTAATTAATCGACCATATATGTGTCGGTTTATTTCTGGGCTTGCTATTTTGATCCATTGATGAATGTGTCTGTTTTTATGCCAACAGCATACTTTTTAATTACTGTAGCTTTGTAATACAGTTTGAAATCATGAAGCATGATGCCTCCAGTTCTGTTCTTCTTTCTCAAGATTGCTTTGGCTTTTTAGGGTCTTTTGTGGTTCCATGTAAGTTTTAGGATTATTTGTTCTAAAAATACCATTGGAATTTTTTTTTTAACATCTTTATTGGAGTATAATTGCTTTACAATGTTGTGTTAGTTTCTGCAGTATAACAAAGTGAATCAACTATATGCATATGTATATCCCCATATCCCCTCCCTCTTGCGGCTCCCTCCCACCCTCCTTATCCCACCCCTCTAGGTGGTCACAAAGCACCGAGCTGACCTGCCGTGTGCTATGCGGCTGCTTCCCACTAGCTGTTTTACATTGGGTAGTGTATATATGTCAGTGCTCCTCTCTCACTTCATCCCAGCTTACCCTTCCTCCTCCCTGTGTCCTCAAGTCCATTCTCTACGTCTGTGTCTTTATTCCTGTCCTGCCCCTAGGTTCCTGAGAACTTTTTTTTTTTTTTTTAGATTCCATATATAGTTGTTGGCATATGGTATTTGTTTTTCTCTTTCTGACTTACTTCACTCTGTATGACAGACTCTGGGTGCATCCATCTCACTGCAAATAACTCAATTTCATTTCTTTTTATGGCTGAGTAATATTCCATTGTATATATGTTCCACATCTTCTTTATCCATTCATCTGTCAATGGACACTTAGGTTGCTTCCGTATCCTGGCTATTGTAAATAGTACTGCAATGAACCTTGTGGTACATGACTTATTTTGAGTTATGGTTTTATCAGGGTATATGCCCAGTAGTGGGATTGATGGGTCTTACGGTAGTTCTGTTTTTAGTTTAGTTTTCTTTTTTAAAAAAAATAAATTTATTTATTTATTTATTTTTGGCCACGTTGGGTCTTGTTGCTGCCCTCAGGCTCTCTCTAGTTGCAGTGAGTGGGGGCTACTCTTCGTTGTGGTGTGAGGGCTTCTCATTGCCATGGCTTCTCTTGTTGCGGAGCACGGGATCTAGGCGCACGGGCTTCAGTAGTTGTGGCTCGCGGGCTCTAGGTGCACGGGCTTCAGTAGTTGTGGCACACGGACTTAGGTGCTCTGCGGCATGTGGGATCTTCCCAGACCAGGGCTCGAACCCATGTCCCCTGCATTGGCAGGTGGATTCTTAACTGTGCCACCAGGGAAGTCCCCTGTTTTTAGTTTTTTAAGGAACCTCCATACTGTTCTCCATAGTGGCTGTATCAATTTACATTCCCACCAACAGTAAAACCATTGGAATTTTGATAGGGATTGTGTTGAATCTATAGATTGCTTTGGGTAGTGTGGACATTCTAACAATACTGATTCTTGCAGTCCATAAGCATAGAATATCTTTGCACTTATTTGTGTCTTCTTCAGTTTCTTTCGTTAATGTCTTGTAGTTTTCAATATACAGGTCTTTCACCTCCTTGGTTAAATTTATTCCTAGGTATTTTATTCTTTTTGATGCAATTGTAAATAGACTTTTCTTACTTTCTCTTTCTGAGAGTTCATTTTTAGTTAAAGAAACACAGCAGATTTTTGTGTATTGATTTTGTATTCTGCAACTTTACTGAATTCATTTGTTAGTTCTAACAGTTTTTGATAGTCTTTAGGGTTTTCTCTGTATATCATGTCATCTGCAAATAGTGACAGTTTTACTTCCTTTCTAATTTGGATGCCTTTTATTTCCTTTTCTTGCCTAATTGTTCTGGCTAGGACTTCCAATACTATGTTGAATAAAAGTGGTAGGAGTGGACATCCTTGTCTTCTTCCTGATCCTAGAGGAAAAGCCTTTAGCTTTTCACCATTGTTTATGATATCAGCTGTGGGCTTGTCATATATGGCCTTTATTATGTTGAGGTACGTTCCCTCCATACCCGCTTTGTTGAGAGTTTTTGTTATGAAAGTATGTTGAATTTCATTCAATGCTTTTTCTTTCTATGTCTATTGAGATGATCATAGGATTTTTATCCTTCATTTTGTTAATGTGATGTATCACACTGACTGATTTGCCGATGTTGAATTTTCCTGGCATCCTTGGAATAAAGGATACCTTTTTTTATTTTGGGCTCCTTCACGTGGTGAGAGTTGTACTTCTAACGTTTCTAGATTAAGAAATTCATTCTTGGGCTTCCCTGGTGGCGCAGTGGTTAAGAACCTGCCTGCTAATGCAGGGGACACGGGTTCGAGCCCTGGTCCGGGAAGATCCCACATGCCACGGAGCAGCTAAGCCCGTGAGCCACGACTACTGAGGCCCATGCTCCTAGAGCCTGTGCTCCGCAACGAGAGAAGCTACTGCAATGAGAGAGGCCCGTGCACCACAACGAAGAGTAGCGCCCGCTCTCCACCACTAGAGAAAGCCTGCGCGCAGCAGCGAAGACCCAATGCAGCCAAAAATAAAATAAAGAAAAAGTTAAAAAAAAAAAAAGAAAAAGAAAAAGAAAAAGAAATTCATTCTGCGGAGTCTGCTCTGAATTCCACTGAACTTAAAGCAAATGTTTTTTTTTAACTACCAGAACTTCAGTTTACATTTGAGAAACAGGTCTTCATACGTTTGCTTTGACAGCCTCTTACCACAGTTTTGTCAACAACATATTCTATTTAATTTTTAAAAAATATTAATTAGCGTAATGATAATAACATAACATTAGAGGGAAATTTAAAAATTTGTCTGCAGTCCGCTTCTCATCTGTTGGAGGAGGGTGCTGAGAAATGGCAGTAGGAGCATCGTCCCTGGTTCCAGCAGTCCAGGGACCCCTATCCCTTCTCAACCCTCATCCTTGCAGGGAGACGACTCCGCGGGAAGGCGTTCTACAATGTGGGTGAGAAAGTGTACTGCCAGGAGGACTTCCTGGTGAGTCAAAGCTGTGCCCTGGCTGGTGCCATGGGTGGGAGCAGGGGCGGGGGACCTTACTTCTGATTCATGTGGTGACCTGAGGCCAGGAAGCAGATGCTGGCTGGGCAGCGAGTGCCCCTTTGTCACATAACATCCTGGATCCTGTGTCCCCTCCCAGTACTCCGGGTTCCAGCAAACGGCTGACAAGTGTAGCGTGTGTGGACACCTCATCATGGAGATGGTGAGAACCTCCCCCAGGCTCCTGGAGCCCCTCTGACATGCGCAGAGTCAAGGACCCCACCCTTTCACCTGTTGGAGACCTGCCAGGGGCTCAGAGCCAGAGTGTCTTCTGGGGGCTGTGCTGAGCCTTCCACCTACACTGACCCTTCAGTGCCTCCCGCCCCCAGATCCTGCAGGCCCTTGGGAAGTCCTACCACCCGGGCTGCTTCCGGTGCTCGGTGTGCAACGAGTGCCTGGATGGGGTGCCCTTCACTGTGGACGTGGAGAACAACATCTACTGTGTCCGAGATTATCACACGTGAGTAGCCGGCGCTATGCAGCAGTGTGGCTCCCACGGTTCCCCTGCCCCTCCCCAGGAGTATTTTTCTGGCCTGCCTGTGTGTGCCCTCCATTCTTGGCCTGCTCACTTCTGGCCCCCGCTGTGTCCTCAGTGGCTGGGGCAAGGCGCCGATCTCTGCTGGAGCCTCTGTCTCGCTCCTCTCCTACCCCTGCCTTTGCCTGCGCCCCCTCGCCCTGGTGGTGGGGACTCTGGGCCGCCCCATCTAGCTTCTGTCCCGCTGCTCTGGTGGCCAGGCCAGGACTCTTCTGCCTGGAATGGGGGCTTGGGGTCTCTGCAGAGTCTCTTTCTGCCTGTCCGGTGCCCGTGTGACCAGGTGATCCGTTCTCCCTTGCTGTGGCTCCAGGCTCAGCCCTCAGACCTCTGGTCCTGCGCTGCTGCCTTGCGTGGGGTTGGTGCTGGGCGTCGGTTCCTGGTACTCAGTGTGGAGCCAGGCTTTGCAGGGGTCTCAGCTAGAGGAGGCCCAAGCCTGGACATGAGGGGGCAATGACTGGCAGGAAGCATGAGGGAGAGGCCAGGGCAGAACCTGAAGAAGCCATCCTGGAGGAGGTGATGGGGTGGAGGTGAATTGGGGCACCACATAAAAGGCCAGTGCCAAGAAGGCACGGCATAGGATGCTCCTACCCCAACATGTCTGCACAAGGAGAGGGGGCCTGATGCTCGGGCCACGTCATGGGGCTACTATGGGTGGACCTGTCCTCGTGCCCTTGGCCTCTGGTCACTCAGCTGGTCACTTCTGGTTTCCTTTATTCCTCCAGGGTTTTTGCACCAAAATGTGCCTCCTGTGCCCGTCCTATCCTCCCTGCACAGGTAGGAACCACTCACCTAGAGATGGTCAGGCGCCTGGCCCCGCCCGGCCCTGCTGGTCCTGCCTGGGTTGGCCCCAGGTCTTGGGCCCCAGTGGGAGGGATGAGCAGGCGCTCCTGCCCCCTGTCCCTCTGGGCTGAGGGACATGTGTTGTGCCCAGTGCACGTATGGTGCAGGTGTCCCCGCATGAGTTAGAGGGAATTGGTGGCCTCTGCTGCTTGGCTGCCCCACTGGCCCCTCAGCTCCGTTGCCCGTCGATGTCAGGACTGGCCCCGGGCTCTGTGAGCTCGCAGCTGAGACGGTGGGGGAGCAGAGGATAGAAGGATGCGGTTTGTGCAGGGGACATCCTCGGGTGGTGCACCTCTCTCCGGCACTGGGTCTTCCACACATGCTGGCCCTGGGGAAGCAGGCCTGGCAGTGTGGTCTTTCCTGACTCCAAAGAACTGAAAAGAACACGTACGCACGCACTGGCACGCACGTGATGGCTCTCATCAGCAAGTGTGCGTGCTCTCGGCTGCAGCCGTGGGAGGAGGCCTACGGCACATGCACATCCATTTGTGTGCACCCACTGATGCCTGTTCTGGCCCCATGGGAGCTCCCATGTCAGAGCTCACACGGGTGTGAATGCACAGCCCCCATGACAGGAGCGCGTTGTGTAGTTATGTGCCCACCACACAGTTCGCCTCAAGCCCTCTCTCTTCCTCCAGGGCTGTGAGACAACCATCCGTGTGGTGTCTATGGACAGAGACTACCATGTGGAATGCTATCACTGTGAGGTGAGCCTGGGTCCCCCCAGAAGGCTGGCAGCCAGGGTAGTCCCCCTCTCACACAGGCTTCCTTCTCCCTAGGTACTCTGTGGGCTCACCTCCTCTTTTATGGTTCTACCCCATTCTGCCTGTCCTCCCCCAGTGAGCTCTTTCCC